CCCCAAAACCCCAAAACCCCAAAACCCCAAAACCCCAAAACTGTGGGATAGAATTGAGGTGAATCTGGAGATTTTGTCCAATTTTGTTAGAACTGATCTAAATTTACACCTTCCAGAGGTTTCTCAGAATAGCATATCTGATGCATTTTCTCTTCATTGATGTCAAATCCATCAATGTGTCTGGAAAAGTCTCTGAATGTGCAGTCTATGTCTCTGCAGCCAGGAAGTTTTAGCTGAAGATCGTTGAAGAACACCCTTATGAAGAAGCAACTCTCTGATGTGGAAGTTTCACATCCTCTAGAGTCAACTCTATGCAGCTCGAAGAGCAGGACTGATGCGAAGTCAATGTGGTTCAGCTCAAGGTTTTCAGGTTCCATTCGGTGAATTATATGAGCCATCTGGTAAGCATGGGATGAAAGCAATACAAATTTAGCATCTCCAAATTCGCCTGCAAGGGTTTCGTTGAAGTCTCTCCCCATCTTAGCCCTCATTAACTCCCTGATTGGATCAATATGCCTTAACGCCAAGATTTCGCTGGAAAGAGGGTTGAGGATATTCAAAAGGTATGCCACTTGCATTGAACGGACAATCTCCCATTCCCCATCTGAAAACTCAAATCTGTTCTGAATACCCTCAAACTCTTCGGTATAGAGGGCTTCAAGATAATCGAGGATGGTCATGAAGTGGAGATCATCTGGGTTGCGTCCAAATGCTTGAGCAATCTGGTTGAAGATCAAGGGTCTGAACTTGTCATCATTATATTGCCAAACTTCTGTATCGTTACTTCTACGTATAAAGTCATTTGACATGTATGGGCAGCCCCCAAATCCAAGGAACCTGTCGTGTTCGCTCCCAAAATTTCGAACTGATACAGGCTGTTTGCCCTTTTTGATAGCATCTGGACCAAGATCTTCGATGATTTGGTCAACGTTAGGGATTTTCACCAGTGGGAGTGCAACGTCAGCCAGGTGAGGAGGAAGGTCCTCTCCTATTCCAAGAGGGTATAACCCTAAAAGCTGTGCTGAAGCACTTTGGACAGTCTTCCTGGTCTGGGTTGATCTTGCGAAAACCTCACCTGTCTCGAAAGAAGGATCAATCAGCTGGTGCACATTGGGATACCCTTTCATATATCTGCGCCTCATCTCCACTCCAAGAAGGTAATGTTGCCTGAGGCCAGAAGGAGTTAGCATGCCTTTACCATTGGAATATTTAGTACCAAAGGTGTCTCTTTGAGGGACTCTTGATCCATGACGACACATTTCAACTACCAGCTCAAGCCTTGCTGCAACTGTCAATATTATGCAACTAAGGAGGGATAGTATTACGCCTTTTTTGTTCATTTTATATTTCTATCTATCTTTGATATAACGGGGTTTTGGGGTTTTGGGGTTTTGGGGTTTTGGGGTTTTGGGGTTTTGGGG